CATTTTCGCAAAAAGTTCCTAGGACCTTCTAGTGTTTTCGGCACCTGCGAAAGCTCTTGATCTAGACAAAATGTGCGTTTCGCTCGAGTTTTGGCCTCGACGCCGTCTGGCGTCAACATGAAAATGTCTCCCAGCGCACGGCCCCGCACCGGCGCCGTCACCATGTTTTAGTGTTTGAATGCCGACAATGCTGGCATTTGAGATTAGATGTGCACTTTTTGCTTTGTGGCATTGACTTTGTGATTGTTGACACGTGCGTGTCATCTGTCGCAATATGTCGGACAACTGCCTTCCCTGCGTTCTTGCGCGTATGAAGATGCGAAGCGGAGGTTTTACAGCAAAAAGTGCAGCATATGCAGGGTCCAAGCACAGGATTTAGCGTAATATGTGCAACCGTTGATCCTTGGGCACGTCCGTGTGTATTGCGCGTTGGGACCAAAGAGGCCCACAACTGCTACGGATGCCGAGCTTGAGGTGCTAAGCGGCATTTCTCGTTGGGGTCTGCAATAAGAGTGAAGGCACTAGCAGCAGCCGGCGTCGTGGGGTACAGGTACAGTTTGGTGTCACTGCTAGCATTAATCCCTTCATCCCCCCTGTTGCAAAGGTTTGCCGGCCGTATGCTGAGGCTGGAATCTCACAGCTTTCCAGTTCATGAGTTTTCACCGGCACGACGGCCAGCCAGGGTATAGGTCCTACATAATTAGGTCCTAGGACCTAAGGCTCCATCCGAGTACTAGTTGTGTTCAGATCTGGAGCCCCGCGTCTCACCTTGTACTGTTGTGTGTGGAGAAACCACTGCTCTGTGCTTGCAGGGGGCTAACGGCACCACCAATGCAGACGGCGCGGGAGTGGTGACTCCGGAGTGATTTTAGCCACTTCTGTGGGGGTTCAGATGCGCTGATACACTCAAGACTCAAAAATGCCCGGTGTCGAAGCTGCGCGAGACAGTTCAAGCCAGGTCATCCTATCACTTTTGGATGCAGCGAGGGCGGCAGAACATCCGATCTTCGCGAACGTTTTAGGACGGGCATGAGAAGCGGGAGATCGTACGAATCGAACAAGATGTCCAACTGAAAAAGGTGCGAATTGGAGCGTAGCCTCTTTTTTATCATGCTTTTGCACAAGACTCACGACAAGCTAGATGGCTCCAAATGTGTATTCTGCCAGGAGCTGCGGTAAATAACGACGGCTCTCGCAAGGCTCACTTCTCTGCGCTGCGACCCAAGTCCATCGAGAAATTGTACGTGGGTCCTCGTTGCTTCATATGCTGCGTCTGTCACAGAGAACAAGGCAAGCAACATAAGGTATGTGCAGGTGCCAGCACAGCATGATAGGACGTCTTCCTGCAGTTCAACATACAGCAGCCAAATCGGGGTAGGAATCGTAATGGAAGTTTCCAGGCAGTGCAGGCGTCAGTTATGCTTCTGAAACGGGCACTAATTTGTCGAAACGAGGCTTAGGAAGATCATGGAGGATCCGCATCACAGCATCACTTTCAGAGTTCAGAGCTCGCCGAGGCCCAGCTACCAGGGTCAGGTGGAGTGCGTCTCCAGGGCGTGTGCCGATGCCGCCCTGCAACAAGGCATCTCTGCGAATGTGTTCGTGGATCCATCTTTATGACGTATAATGTGCGGCGTTCGAGAGATGAAAGGCTCGCAGCTTGACTACGTGGAAGGGCATGGCTGCTTGGCAGCTGCCCCGTTTGCCCCCTTGTCAAAGCTCTCTGCTCTTAGAGCAGAGTTTTGAGCAGCTTTTCGGCCCTCGCAAGTGGTTTTCGGAAACTGAGGAACAGGAACGAAGATCGGAGACCCCCTGGAAATTCATGCGTTGACGCAGGTGCTGGAGCAGGACAGCGCTTCAGAGAAGCAGTCCGAAGGTCGTGGGGCGGTTTCGGAGGCGACTCTTCAAGCATGGGGAGAGACGCCAAAAAGAAGGGCCACCAGGCCGTCGCATTGTTGCAAGGCAAGGTACTTAGGTCGAACAGCCGAAGGCACCACGATCCGATGGACACCAGTGTGGGAATGCGAAGGATATCTCACCAAAAAACAGACTGCTGGGAGGAGCCTCGCGTATTCCTGGGCTCGGTCAAGGGCAACGTTGGGCACCTGAACACGGCCGCAGGAGTGCTTTAGAGCGATAGCCAGGGCAGATGGAGAGTCTCATAGGTTCTCGTGCTGCTGATTATCGCATTGAGTTTCCCTCCAGATCCATGTCTGTAAATATTTACATACGTGGCCATGTCATTGTCTCAGGGGTGCGCGGGGCATGACAGCGATATTTGCAGTCATTTGGGGCAGGAGGGTGTTTAACATAACATGTATGTACGTACTAGTATATGTATAGTATATGTATATATGTACATATACTGTATATTAACATAGTGTTTTAATAGTACATATACATGTAGTATATGTATATACTGTTAAAATATTATATTTGTATACTCTGATATATATATATATATACATACATGTATATAGTATATTGTGTACAGTATTAACAAAGTATTTAAAGGTTATTGGCAGTAGTACTAGTATTCGTTTTAGTATTCGTATATTAGTAGTAATAACAATGTTTGCATTGTAAGAACACTATCAACATCTAAAAGCAAATAAATAAACAAACATATATATATATAAGTACTACTGTGAAAGGTGAAAGTCGTT